GGTGTGAGTCAGACAGCAAGACGAGACGGCAAAGAGTTGTTTTTTGCAACTTATTGCACTTAACTCTTTTTAACGCCAAGCAAATCTCTGCTATATGCGTCGAACTAAAACTTTGACCTTTTGCAACGTTTTGATTTAAGTAGCCTATTATTAAAATTATAATGATATCGCACGCCGTTGCGATATGCATATTGCGATATTTACATTTGCGATATTTCGATATATCGTGCAGCCCTACTTTAAATACTTTAAATGCTGACAATCTTTCAAATGAGTGAGCGGTCCAGTCTCTGCTTTCAAATAGGATCAGGGACCATTGGCCATTGTTATTTCTCTCTAAAGGAAATTAATGTTTGTTGTGTCTGTCTTCGAGAGAACGGGCTCCATCAAAGCAGCATTTATTGACACGGCCGCTCATAATGGATGGATGCTTCACAAATGAACTTCAAGCGTTTGTTCCAGTGAACACTGTTCATCCCACACAAAAGACCGTTTGATTCGCCTTCTATTTACATTTGAGCAGCAGTCATGTAGAGGAACAGGACGTTCTGGTGTGCTGTTTTTATGGGTAGAAAGTTAGTGTAAGTCTCGGTGATGAGTAAACACTGCAGACACCAGAAGCGCTTTCTTCAGGAGTCCAGCATCATGTGGAGCACAATAACACCTTACTGAGAGACGCAAGAATGTGCATTGCTGAAAATCTGTTATCTCTCAAACAATACAATATAATAACATAATAGTGGTAGGTCTTTGATGTAGTCTCATTTCTCCTCCAAACTGATTTGGCTGTTACTACAGGTTTATTTACATGATTGACTTCAATGACAGGCTCTGTGTCTTTATTGCTCTGTAAATGTGTCCTGTTTTTCTCTCTTTAGGTTGTACGTTTCACCAAAGAAGCAGGTTGCGGCTGAACTGGGGCCTGAATCACCGCTCAAATGGAGTCGAAAAGTTCTCGATCATCCCAGTCCAGAGACCGAGGTCGCCTGTCGCACGCTCATCAACCGGCTAGACCAAAGTAGGGAAACTTTACAAGATTTGTGAATACATTCATGTGCAATAGAAAGAGTATTTTATGATGTAACTGATGTTTGTTGTATGCACATGAATACAGAATGACTGAATGATTTGGATTTAAGTCAGAGCGCTTTAACACCTCACTGAACTACAGAAGCATTACCGATGTGCACTTTCCCGGGGAAATATTGTCCTGTGACATGTTTCTGCTTTGCGCACTGCTGTTACTGTATTTTCTGCTTCTGTAGCATCTGTCATAACAATATGAAATGAAAAAGGAATAGATCTTTTCTTCTGTATGGTGGCATACATCAGAGAGAAACAGATGATCGTGAAAGAAAATATATAGAATGAAGACTTGATTCTGTGCATTGGATGTTGAGATGTGAGCGTGGCCCTGGAGACAGATGAACATGAGCTTTAATCAGACTAAATAATTAGAAAAGTCCTGCATACGTCGCCAGATGTTTCGGTTATTAAATATTACCAGGTCAAAAAAAAAAAAAGAGTGTGCATTGAAGAATTGTTCACGATGAGATGTATAACATGCATTAATAATGACACCATGTGAAATCCAGTGAAGATCATTAAAATAATAACAGTTACTGGCATTTGCTGGTTCTTTACTGTCTAAAATGTTTATTGTCTTTATAGCTGGACCTATGAGTAATTAGTTTCTTTCAAGCTCTTTCAGTGTCACATTTTTATGAATTTTTACTAGGCATGTGACAGTGTGATACGTGCATTTCCCCAAATTAGTAATGAAAATAATTTATAAATCTGCTGCTGTCAACAAAGAAGAAGCACTGAGGTCTTCCTGTGGGTTTCTGCCAAAATAAAAGCTCCATCAACATTCATAAATGTTAGTATTGTAATTTTACTGTTGTTCTGTTAAATAAAATTAAAAAGTAAGACAATAATAATAATAATTACAACAGCTTTATTAATACATTTATTATAACATTCACACATAGTGTTCAAACTAGGATCTGTAATATTTTCTAATGTTTTAAAATAATTCTCTTCTGCTCAGCAAGGCTGCTTTTATTTG